TATACGCGTATAGCGGCCACACTGGCATATCCACACATGTGTATGTATAGGCAGTACACACACATGTGCACCTCTGCGCGTTGTCCTGTGCATAGCTGTAGGTGTAGGCAACAACCGAATGACAGCTGATGTGTCTCTGCCCATGCCCAGCGTAGTGTGGTGGGTCAAAATGGGCTGCTGCGCTTGCTCTGTCTATTCATACTCACGCGCAATACTCAATGTTGTCATACTATGAGGTCCTGCATAACTCTCGTCGTAACTGTGTGTACACGTATAGACCCTTGTGATTGCCAGTATGTACCAACAACACTGAGCCGTTGAGCATCCACCCTCAGTGCATGGACACACCTGGTTTTAGGCAGTGAGCGCGCAGATCAACCTTGGGTTATGTTGGTTATGTTGGGTTCAAGCCCTTGTTGTGTTTGAATCTGGGTGGGTCCTGCATAGACGCTAGACGAACTACGCATCACACTAATTAATTCCGACTAATTATTTCCGACTAATTAATTCCAACCAATTAATTCCGGCTGGGAGATATTCAGTATTAGTACAATTACCACGAGTATATTCAGACGTATATAGTTTACACCAGACAAGCTCTTAAACACACCTGTGCTTCTACACTCTGGACACACTCCAAAACCCTAAAACCCTAAACGCTAACCCCCAAACCCTAATCCCTAATTACCGCAGGCAGAGGGATCTCAGCTGAACCTGGTAGGCTCCGCTAAAGGCGGTGAACGCACCACACTGATTAACCCCGACTGGAACTTTGAGCAGATGGGCATCGGTGGTTTGGACTCTGAGTTTACGGATATCTTCCGCCGAGCCTTTGCTTCACGCGTGTTTCCGCCAGGTGTGTTGCACGGCATGTTTATGCTTACCGGTTTATACCGGTTTATACTGGCTTGCAATGGTTAGTACTACTTATACCACTTCACTTATACCGGTTAATACCGGTTTATACCGGTTTACACTGCTTTATACTACTTGTACTACTTTTACACTGCTTTATACTACTTATACCACTTCATGTCGGTTTATGCTGGCTTACACTGGTTAATACTACTTATGCCACTTTATTTATACTGGTTTACACTGCTTTTACTACTTATAACGGTTTATACCGGTTTATACCGGGTTACACTGCTTTTACTACTTATACCGGTTTATACCGGTTTATACTGGCTTAACACTGGTAAATACTACTTATACCACTTCATACCGGTTTATACTGACTTGCCATGCTTTATACTAGTTATACCACTCCATACCGGTTTATACTGATTTGCCATGCTTTATACTACTCATACCGGTTTATACCAGTTTTATAGACTGATCTCAACGTGCATGAGACGTCCGTTGTGCTTGTTTGCGCGAATGTTTTGTGGGTGGACGTTTTAGGGTTTTTAGGGTTTATGGTTTAGGGGTTTAGGGTATTCTACCCGCGTATAGATGTGTCACGTGGTCGTATATATTACAAATATATACACATGTACTGGGGATTTGTGGGCAGACGTTTTAGGAACTGTAGGGTTTAGGGGTTTAGAGTATGATATGTGTACGTGGTCATACATCGTAACAATATATACACAATGTACTGGAATACTCAGAAGCTACTCTCGGGAGAGGTGGTATAGTTGTATGCGCACACATATCAGCACACATTGATATGTGAACGTATGTGCGCATGGATATTATTCATATATTATTTATACAATATTCATATATTATTCGTATTTTATTTATATAATATTAATATATTATTCCTACATTATTCATATATTATTTATATAATATTTATATATTGTTCCTATATTATTCAAATATTTTTTATATATTATTCGTATATTATTCATAAATTATTTGTATAGTATACATATATTATTCATATATTATTTATATCATATTTATATTTAATTCCTATATTATTCATACATTATTATTTATATAATATTTATATATTGCTCCGATATTGTTTATATAATATTCATATAATATTTATATATTATTCCTATATTATTCATTTATTATTTTTATATTATTTATATAATATTTATATATTATTCCTGTATTATTCATATACCGCACATGCTAGTGTTACGACGTTCGTTCTATTGGCTTTGTTCTGTGTGTTATTGAATGAATGTCAGATGCGTTCAATCGGTAGGCTATCCCATGGTCGGCGGATATGATCTCGTTGTTGCCTAGCAACAACCGGTCGGCGGATATGGTCTAGTTGCCTAGCAACAGCCGGAGCACCCTCCCCCCTGCGCGCTGTTTATCTGATTGTGGCTTACACACTCTCGTCACGACGCACGCCAAGATACAGTTCTCTAAGCTAACATCGCATTCAATCAAAACGCGTTAACGTTTAATGCCGGATCGCGTGAAGAAGCTGTGTGTTTTCTACGCTAACATCACACTCAACCAAAACGCGTAAACTTTTAATGCCAGATCTCGTGAAGAAGCTGGGTATCATGCACGTGAAAGGCATTCTGCTCTACGGACCTCCGGGCACAGGAAAGACGCTTATGGCCCGACAGATCGGAAAGATGTTAAACGCCGTCGAACCTAAGATTGTCAATGGTACGTACGTATGTGGCACTAGTGACTGACGTTCTATCTGTGTGGGTACTTATGGCAGTCGTACGAGTGGTCGCTGTACTAGTATAAGTGGTGGTTTAATGTAGAATGGTTGCTGGCGATGTCTGTGTGATGTCAAACGTTAGCGTTTACGTTTTGCAACCTCGTAAAGATTGTGTCTTAGATGAGCTGAGCGTGGTGGTATGCATGCATGAGGGGTTGCGCAATTCACTTGCGTCAGTGGATAGTGTGAAATCACAAACGTGTATAATATACACATGCACAGGCTATATACGACATAAATAAACACGTTATTCATTTATATGACAAAAATATACACATGTTACATGTATACGACATAAATATTCACATGTTACATGTATACGACATAAATATACACATGTTACATGTATACGGCATAAATATACACATGTTACATGTATACGAAATAAATATACACATGTTACATGTATACGACATAAATATACACATGTTACATGCTTACGACATAAATATACACATGTTACATGTATACGACATAAATATACACGTGCTACATGTATACGACATAAATGTACACATGCTATATAAGCCAAATTTAATACACATGCTATATGCTACATGTATACACAAACATTAACACTGTTCAATGTGTCAGGTTTTAGGCGGTTGTATACAACTAAAGTTTTTTTGTCTCGGTGTTTGAACTTCTGACAGGTCCCGAGATTTTGGACAAATACGTGGGACAGTCCGAGCAGAACATACGAAATTTGTTTATGGATGCCGAGGCTGAACAGGTACACAAAGTGCTGGACTGACGGATATACACTTGCACGCACACACACACACATATGTGTATATGTATGTACGTATATATGTATGTATATATATTGTATATATATATATATTATATATATATATATATATATATATATATATATATATATATATATATATATATATATATATATATATATATATATATATATATATATATATTACGCAATTGATGATTTCTATCTAAACTTGGCTTATTCCACAAATCCGCCTCGATTCGCGATTAGATGATCGCACAGCCATATGCTCGCCCACTATATTGCCCTGCGTAATAATAATTACCAGCGCACTACCACTGGCCGTAGTTATTCATACCTTTGCGACAGCGTATATATTGCATCACATGATCTATGGGGAGCTGATTGCCGATACTCATGGGATATAAAACTCTTATTCCGTCACACAATTAGGTTCTTATTTTGCCGTATGCTTATTCCGTCACACACCTGTAGGCGGCCAAGGGTGACTTCTCGCAGCTACACATCATCATCTTCGATGAGTTCGATGCGATTTGCAAACAGCGTGGCAACAGCGCCAGCTCAAGCGGCGTAGGCGACACTGTCGTCAATCAGCTGCTCTCGAAGATCGACGGAGTGGATCAGGTGTGTATGCACATGTGTGTACGAATGTAAACTCTTTCTCTCTCTTTCTCTCTCTCTCAGTGTGCGTGGGCGTGTGTGTGTACGTACGTGCGTTTACATATATATATATGTGTGTACATATGTGTACATGTGTGTGTGTGTGTTTGCGTGTGTGGGAGACACAGTCGTTAATCAGCTGCTCTCGAAGATCGACGGAGTGGATCAGGTGTGTATGCACATGTGTGTCCATCCACGGCTCAACAACATCATGCTGACAGGCATGACCCATTTATACCCACCCATTCAATACCCTCTCCGAAGATGTATTTGTTATATACTTCTGTTTCTGTAGTCAACCACCCTCGTCTCATCACTCTCATTTTGGCCCCCATCCACAGCTCAACAACATCCTGTTGATCGGCATGACCAATCGTCGTGACCTCATCGACGAGGCTCTGCTTCGTCCGGGCCGTTTGGAGGTGCAGATGGAAATCAATCTGCCAGACGAACACGGGCGCTTCCAGATCTTGCAGATTCACACAGCCAATATGAAGGCCAATGACATGATGGACACTACGGTTGACTTAGCCGAGCTGGCGGCCATGTCTAAGAACTACAGCGGTGCTGAGATAGCCGGTGTGTTTGGGCGTGTGTGTATATCGCCTTGTACTATGTGGTTGGGTGCCCTGGGTAAAAAGAAAGGGACAGGGGGTGTAATATAGGGTATCTTTTCAGTTGTGTATATGATGCGGTGAGAACTTGGTGTTCATGCAGAGTCGGGTCTGTAGAGGAGGACAGGCTGTGCATGTCTCAGTTAAGTTGGATGTAAACATGTCTTCATAGCACATGCGACGGTGCCGTCTCACTAAAAATCTACTATCACGTATGGAATCTGATGTTTCTGACTGACTTTCGAAATGCTGTTGGGTTCTGACCTGAAACCCAGCTTTTACACGATGTAGTAGTTATTAAATAGCATCTAGTTTTAGCCAGAAGTAGTGCCTTTGTGCCATTATTAGCTTTTACGAAGTGTTTCGAACGCTTGGTCGCACGTTTTCCACCAGATTAGAGTACAAATATAACCAACTTACTTACCATAGCACTCGAAAGGTCGGGGTTGCGTCTTACTTTGTATATATTAGGTTCGCGATGCTTGCCCATTCACATATGTATGTATAGATACATCCACATATCCGGCTGTATGTATACACGATTACTCAAGTTGTTATATACACGAATGATCTTGTTGTTATATACACGAATACTCATGTTGTTGTATACACGAATATTCAAGTTGTTTTACACACTAATGCGTACGTTGTGCCTTCCTTTACACGGCAGGTCTGGTGAAGTCTGCGTCTTCGTTCGCATTCAACCGTCACATTGACCCCAACAACCTGGGCAAGATAGACGAGGCTGCCCTCAAAAATCTCAAGATCACTATGGACGATTTTGTGGGTGCGCTGGATGAGGTAAGCGTGTGCGTGATGCAGTCAGTGTCTGTGCTATAGTATGAGTTGGTAGTGTCTGTGCTATGGTATGAGTTGGTAGTGTGTGTGCTATAGTATGAGTTGGTAGTGTCTGTGCTATACTATGAGTTGGTAGTGTCTGTGCTATACTATGAGTTGGTAGTGTCTGTGTTATAGTATGAGTTGGTAGTGTCTGTGCTATAGTATGAGTTGGTAGTGTCTGTACTATACTATGAGTTGGTAGTGTCTGTGTTATAGTATGAGTTGGTAGTGTCTGTGCTATACTATGAGTTGGTAGTGTCTGTGCTATATTATGAGTTGGTAGTGTCTGTGCTATAGTATGAGTTGGTAGTGTCTGTGCTATAGTATGAGTTGGTAGTGTCTGTGCTACGGTATGAGTTGGTAGTGTCTGTGCTATGGTATGAGTTGGTAGTGTCTGTGCTATAGTATGAGTTGGCAGTGTCTGTGCTATAGTATAAGTTGGTAGTATCTGTGCTATAGTATGAGTTGGCAGTGTCTGTGCCATAGTATGAGTTGGTAGTGTCTGTGCTATAGTATTAGTTGGTAGTGTCTGTGCTATAGTATTAGTTGGTAGTGTCTGTTCTCGGCGTCCAGCAGCCCAGTATTAGTATATACCCTAATTTATATTTGCACTACACGGCCAACAAATCTTTAAAGAAATAGCCCAGTATTGGTGTACAAAACCTGGTTTATATTCAGGGCCAACACATATTTAAAGACACAGGCGTCCAGCAGCCCAGTATTGGTATAAATACCCTGGTTAATATTTGTTATATTTGCACTACAGAGCAAACACGCCGTTAAAGACACAGGCGTCCACCACCTGTGCGCATTGGTTCTCTACTTATACGCACTCCACTACTGGGACAGTCACCGCCACCTCTATTCATCTCAGTATCCCTCTATCCATCCTGCACATTCCTACCCCAGTTGTAGAGTTTTTAAAGTATAACCCTAAAACCCTCACCACATCAGCGTATGCACTTATCCCATTCCGCCATTCCACGGCACCTCTCTCACCCGTTTAACGTCTTGCAGGTTAAGCCGGCCTTCGGTGTGACGGAGGATGTGTTTGCCGAGTGCGTGCGCAATGGCGTTGTGGAGTGGTGTCCGCAGGTGCAACGCATTCTGGACGACGGCAAGTTGCTGGTAGATCAGGTCAAGAATAGCCCCCGCACACCTCTGGTGTCTGTCTTGTTGGAAGGTGAGCATAGTGTAGTGTTTATCTATAGGTAGCTCTAGAGGTAGCTCTGGTGTTTGTCTTGTTGGAAGGTGAGCATAGTGTAGTGTTTATTAATAGGTAGCTCTAGAGGTAGCTCTGATGTCTGTCTTGTTGGAAGGTGAGCATAAGGTAGTGTTTATTAATAGGTAGCTCTAGAGGTAGCTCTGGTGTCTGTCTTGTTGGAAAGTGAGCATAGTGTAGTGTTTAATAATAGGTAGCTCTAGAGGTAGCTATGATGTCTGTCTTGTTGGAAGGTGAGCATAGTGTAGTGTTATTAATAGGCAGCTCTAGAGGTAGCTGTGATGTCTGTCTTTTTGGATGGTGAGCATAGTGTAGTGTTTATTGATAGGTAGCTCTAGTGGTAGCTCTGGTGTCTGTCTTGTTGGATGTTGAGCGTAAGCGAGTGTTTATCTATAGTTAGCTCTAGAGGTAGCTCGGGTGTCTGTCTTGTTGGAAGGTGAGCATAGGCTGGTGTTTATCTAGAGGTAGCTCTAGTGATGCTCTGGTGTCTGTCTTGTGGGAAGGTGAGTAGTAGGATAGTTTGTAGGCTTGCAGCTACCTATTGTGCCTACCCCTTACGCCATGCCACCATATAGTCCACACGACCAGTGCTGGTTTTGTTTTGTTGCACTGTTCACATGTGTTGCTCATCCGGCGCGTGTCATGTGAGCCGTACGTATACCCTATTTGTGCGTGTTGTTTCATCTGCACATATAACTTATACTGCTCTCCTTGTTATTTTAATCATTATTATTATTATAATTATTATTATTATTATTGTTGTGGTTGTTGTTGTTGTTGTGGTTGTTGTTGTTATTATTATTGTTGTTGTTGTTGTTGTTGTTGTTGTTGTTGTTGTTGTTATTATTATTGTTGTTGTGGTTGTTGTTGGTGTTGGTGTTGGTGTTGGTGTTGTTGTTGTTGTTGTTGTTGTTATTATTATTATTGTTGTTGTTGTGGTTGTTGTTGGTATGGTTGTTGTTGTGGTTGTTGTTGTTGTTGTTATCATTATTGTTGTTGTTATGGTTGTTGTTGTTGTTGTTGTTGTGTGTGTATAGGGCCCCCGGGCGTGGGGAAGACGGCGCTTGCGGCGACAATGGCGATCAGTTCCGACTATCCGTTTGTGAAGCTCATAGCACCCGAGTTGTATGTGGGCATGAGTGAGTCAGCAAAGTGCAACGCCATCACGAAGGTATGTGGTGTGGCTAGTAGTACGTGCATCTATAATTTTTCGTTCTTGTGTATCTATGAATAGATGATATTCTTGTGTATCTATAGCTAGATGTTATTGTTGTGTATCTATAGATAGATGTTATTGTTGTGTACCTATAGATAGATGTTGTTCTAGTGTATCTATAAATAGATGTTATTCTTGCGTATTTATAAATAGATGTTATTCTTGTGTATCTATAAATAGATTTTCATTCTTGCCATGCGGATGTATATACGAAACCTGTATACCTACCTGAGTTCCGCCATTACGGTCGCCTATACATACATCTGGGGCAGTTGCTTGTGTCCATGTACCGAGCATAGCACTAGGTCTGTCGATTGACCGGTGACAAGCATGCAGCACCACTCGCACACGTGGCAGTGTATGTGTATCTGCTTACCGCACCTCCTTTTTATTTTTGGGACTTGTATTGACCTATAAATAGCTTAGCCTTCGTACCGACTGTAAGCCAGAGACACCACGATGCGTGGTTTTCCCATTGTGTGTGGTACAAACACGCACATATGCACGCATGCACACCGTATCGATAGGCACACAACCGCACACACAAGATATACACGTATATGCGCTTGTATACGCATACTTCAGCATCCAAACGACACACACACACACACATACACATAGAGAGAGACACACACACAGACACACACACACACACACACACGTACACTTCAGGATACGTACGGATCCGTTCTTCATCACCCACTGCACACAGGTCTTCGACGATGCGTACAAGTCCCCGATCGCCTGTATAGTCATTGATAACATTGAGCGGCTGTTGGGTATGTTGGGTTATATGTGCATCCACTGGTGGTACTGTGGGCCATTACACCCACAACTCTGTCTGAGTGATATGTAACTTAACTTCTGCAGCCAGCAGAGAGGTGTCCAGTACTTCCCTGTTCAATGGCCGTTGGATGGTGATGATTTTGTGGTGGTCATTCGCTCACTGTGGCACTAGGCCACTTCGAAGATGAATCTGATACGTGCTTGTTGGTATTATCTATTTATCAATCATTGTAGAAATTCCAACCTTACTATATATGTATA